CTCTCTCTCTCTCTCTCTCTCTCTCTCTCTCTCTCTCTCTCTCTCTCTCTCTCTCTCTCTCTCTCTCTCTCTCTCTCTCTGTGTGTGTTTCCAGAATCACAGAGTGACTCTGAGATTACTGCCAGACTGCAGACACAGAGTATCTCCTAGTCTTGGTTTGACCAACACAGCTTCAACGGCAGTACAAGAGGGCACCGACCGCAAGTGCCAGAAATAAAGCAGCCACGCAAGCAGGAAGCTCATACCTCATTTGTTTCCAATGGTCACTTGAGGAGACACAGTCAAAGCCCAAGCGATCACGTGCGCAAGGCTGCAGTGCAAAAACATTGCTCATATGTGTGAATGTGTGAGCTGTAGCAGTCAGTCTACCTGCAGCAAGGAAGCGCGTCAACGTTACGATGTGCAAACGTCTTCTTCTATCGTTTAAAAGAGGGCGATGGCCTGGAGACATCATCGTGAAACTGACCGGCCACAGGCGATTCAAGAATTTTGTTCATTGGGTTCCATTTGGATTCGATCTCCGGTCTGTCTCTCAACAACAGTTCATTAGTGTACCGACTGAGCTAAGACCGTAGACCGTCGGTCACCACATCTCTGACATGCAGAAGAGTGTAATCCACCTCAGAGTCTCTGACAAGCAGGAGCGTCTAACCCTTATTCCAATACAGGATATGGAAGCAAGCACCACCCACCCCTCAGGGAGGAGGGAAGCAAGCAGTAATCATACCTCAGGAAGGAGGGAAACAAGCAGTACGGCGTACTAACCACCCCTCCGGGAGGGAAAGAAGTGATGTGCACGGTCCATCCACATCCGATATGCTACACTGCACAGGGCACAGCACCACGCATGGCATGCAGTTGCCTGCACAGGGCCATGTCATCCACCATCAGCACGATAACCGGAGGAGAGAAGACGAAGACAAAACAACCTAACGCATAGATATAGTACGGCGTAACAGCTAATCCGTCGACATCACAGCTCATCAGCTGCTGACGCTCAACGGTTGCAGCGGCGCACACAGCAGCCTTCTGCACCTGACCATGAGCGGCGCACACAGCAGCCTTCTGCACCTGACCATTAACTCATGCAAACACAGAAGAGCAGCATGACCTGACCATTAACTCATGCAGACACAGAAGAGCAGCATGATGAAAGGACACGGAGGAGCGAAAGAGATCGAAGAGGGACAAGACCTGACACACAGAAGGGATTCCCGCCATTCCCTGCATCCAGACTGCTCAAAAAGAGGCGCTCTTTCCTTAAAAGCGGAAGCTGGTCCTCTTTTGGTGGAGCTCGCTTGTCAAATACCCATAGCCTTGGTGGCCCTTGCACTTGTAATCTTTGCCATTCCACCTCTCCGTCGCTCATGCACTTGGGCTTAGCCACCCACTCTGCCTCTCACTTCCCTTCAAGCATCTCCCTTGTCGTCTTGTCTCCTGGCCGTGGACAACACATGCATCCTCACCCTCCACCTGGCCCCCGCACAATCCCTTGTGTTTGCCACATGTCACGCAGTCACCTCTCACGCCCTTGGCCTCGGTCCACTCACGTCTACCATTATCCCCCTCCCCTCTTCGTCTCCTCATCCTTGAAAACACACATCCTCGCCCTTGCCCTCAAGGATGGGCCGCACTCCCAACCTTGTGGGCCGCACTCCCAACCTTCCCCTACCCTAAACCTCACACCCACCCTTGTCCTTTCTCTCTCCCTTAACCACACCCTCACCCTTGGCCCACTCTGCCTCTCACCTTCCTTCACCACCTCCAAAGCCTCTTCCTCTCCTCGTACTCCACGAAGAAATGCGTCCTAACCCTCAGCCTGTCCCTCACCGCACCTCCCCTTGTGTTTGTAACCTTTGCCACACTTCACCCAGACATCGCTCACGCCCTTGTTATCTCCCTTCCCCCCCTTCCTCTCCTGGTCCTTGAAAACACACCTGCCATTGCCCTCAGACTGGGGTCTCACCCATACCCCTGCCATCACACTTGTCCTCGCTCCACCTTTACCTCTCACTCTCATCCTCGCCCGTACCTTCCAGCTTGCTAGGCCCTCACCATCCATCCCCTTCATCTTCAACCTCACTTTGACCATGCCTCTCCTTCACCTTTTCCCTCTTCCACTACGCTCTGCAATCATTCTCCACTCCATTCTTCACACCACTCACCATCCAACCAAAGCCTTGCTCCGCCTACATGACTGAGTCCCTTTGTGCTGCTCCCTTCTCCCGACATCCCTCCTGGCTCCGCTTACATGACTGAGTCCCTTTGTGCCGCTCCCTTCTCCCGACATCCCTCCTGGCTACGCTTACATGACTGAGTCCCTTTGTGCCGCTCCCTTCTCCC